GGAAAATTTTGACCAAGTACTGCTGATGTTTAAAAGCAGGATATGAATTCAGTTTTTGCTGTGAGATGTAATAGTGCGGCATTCGAGATTGTATATCAACATTGGGTAAAGCATAAACAAGCAAAGGTTGTTATGTCATGTTCACCAGAAGCTGACATTGACATATTGTTTCAGTAGGTCTTAGTTCCCAGTTAAGAACAACACAACCACTTCTCATTTCTCCTTCAGCAATTCAGAGGTAGGAGTTAGTACAATTAGATCATGTCATCTAGGCTCATACTTCCTTATTGTTGGGGAGTGCTCAAAAGCAGAAAGTCAATGGCTTGGTATTTTTGGTATCCCTCCAACTTTGGAACTTTTTGTACCTATAAACATTAACCTTGCCTGACTTCCTGATACCCCATTTCCTATGATCTGCCGAAATAGTAAGCTGCATGTGTTTGACTACATTAGAGTCTGTAAATTTGCAATTGATGCCAAACCCACCTGAAATACTAACTCCAACTTTTTATTGTTGGAGCTTTTCTTTTTTAAAAAATATTTTAAAGTGTGCCTAATCCTCCCAGATATTAATTTGCATTCAAATTAAAGTTATCAAATGTGTTTAGTAATTTCAGGGCTGAAAAGACATTTGTGAGTTTTTTATTATGCCATATACTACTAATTCCCAACTCTAAATATGATTGGATGACATCTCCCAAATACTGGCTGAGAAAGACCATGTATTTAAAAAGATTTTGCTAAGAGAGCCCCTCTGTCCCCCTCATCAGAATGCCTGAATGTAATGGTCCTCATGCTAGATATGGAATTATATATTTTCATAGATTTAATCAAGCTCTTTATATATTCTATCCTACTCCTGTTTTCCCTAAGATGTATCCCTGGGCATTTGTTGTGAGGTTAAATTCTTTCTGTTTCCAAGATCAGTGTGCTCTGGGAGTGCAGAACGGACAGATGTGGAGTGTCTCACTTGACCACTGGATGCCAGCCAGCTCATTCCCTTTCTTTAGGGAGATCTGGCCTTTAAACAGGCATCCCTCACCCGTGTGTTCCATGGACCTCCAGCTCTGTGAAACAGGGGTGCTTCTTGAAGAAAGTGTTTCATACTCAAATTAACTTGGAAAATGGTATGTGCTCTACACCTCCCTTGGAGGGACCTACTGTATATTTGCCTTTTAGAGGCTCTGAAATCTTGTGGTTAAGAGGAAAGCAAGGGGACCCTGTTTAACTTCTTCCAAAGCATTTCCATTTGATCATACCACCTTTTTTAGTGGGACACCTATTAACTTCCCTACCACCAGAGTTCTGAAGAATGCTGCTTTAAATTATTCTTGATTTAAATGACATCTTGAGAAAGGAATGTGACAAACATTTAAATAATCCATCAATATATCGAGTTTTTTTTTAAAGGAAACTTACCATGTTCTATTTGTGAAGATGGTTTTTGTTAAACTGTTTGCTCAGCTTTAATATACAGAAGAAAGTGTAGTATAAAACGCGGAAGCTGAATTTACAGGACAAAACTGGGTGTAGCTCTCACTAGCATGACTGAAGTTATCGGGCATAGGTGTATTATGGAGCCAAAGAAATTGATATTTGAGAGTTATGGAGAGAGGTGTTGCAAAATTACTTGTTTTTATGATTGAAGGTTTTTGTAATTTCTGAGGTATGTTAGTATACTAACTAATGATATGCAAAACATCTCTCTCTTTCTCTCTGTTCCTCTCACACACACAACACACACACTCTCTTTCTCACCCCTGTGGATTTAAATAACCCAAAAATGAAAATTCAAAAAATTCCTCTTCTGGCATCTGCAACACACTTTTTCAGATAACATCACACAATTATAATTCAAGTGAAAGAAGAAATATTCACAAAAGTCAATTATCAAAGGAGGGCAAATTTGTGGGTTTGCTCCCTTGTGAGCAATATTTGCCTTTTTGATTTATTTTGGAAGCTATTTTCGTCAGCCACGAATTAAAGAATAATGAAAACACAGTTGTTGCTTGTTTTTATAACCTAGATAATTTCACCTGAAAAGAGTTGGTATGTTGGGCATGGCCTATTTACCTTTCAGATTAGAGACAGGATGTGCTGAGCAAAAAGAAAATAAAGTCCAGCCATATTCTCGCCTTTTTTCCATTACGTTTTGTTGGCTCGAAGTAGTTAGAACTCCTTTTACTATTCATTTCTCTGAGCCAAATGGATTTTCCAATGTCTAAAAAAGTGAGAGGAAATATAAAAGTTTTCAGACTAAGCCCTTCTTTTCCTTTGGGCCTGTTGGGTGACCTTTAAGCAAAGCCCACGTATGGCCTGGGAGACATTTCAGTTTGGGAAGATTAGCAGTATGTGCATGTGTGTGCACACATGTGTGTGCATGTGCATGTATATATTTGTGTGTCCATGTGCATACCTGTGCACCGACATGGTTGGTAACTTTCAAGTGAAGCAGAGAATCTGTAATGGTTCATTTCTGGATTCATTTCTGGATTCTGATCTGTTTTAGGCGAAAGGAATGCCACTTTTCTGTTTCCCTTTCCATCTTCTCTCCCCGTGCAGCATGGTGATTAAGAGTGCAGATACAAAGCTAGGAACACCCAGGCTCAAGTTCAGGCTTGGTCATTTAATGGGGTGTGACTTTAGGTAAAATCTCTGGCTTTTCTTTTTTTTTTAAAAAA